GTAGTAGTAGTAGTAGTAGTACGATATAGATGACAATGAAAATATGGATGAAGGACTAACGACACTCATCAGCTGCACCATGCCAGCAAGACAGGTATCATCACTTGCTCGAGCGTGCTGGTTCAGGAAAGAACTACAGATCGTCTTGCACAGTCTGGCGGAGCCCCTAATCCAACATCAATCCCAGAACCATTTAGCCTGTCACACAGACCGAAACCCTAAAGGCCCAAGTGTGGAAACCCTTCAAAACTTCCGAGCCCCATCTTCACACCCTTTTCGCCTTTTCCCCTTGAATGAACCCTTTGAAAGCAGCTTTCTGCGAGACAGTCCCCGCCAGATCCGCAATGGGTGGAAGGAATCTGTCTCTGCCGCAGTGTGTGGACCTGGCAGGAGCCGTAGGAACATGCTAGCAGGGGTCAGGGTTTGTAGGGTTTAGGGAAATGTAAGGGTTTAGCGTTTAGGGTTTAGGGTTTAGGGTCAGGGTTTGTAGGGTTTAGGGTTTAGGGTTTAGTAGGGCTTCGGGAAATGTAAGAGTTGCGACAAAGGGTTTCCATCAGAGGCCCGAAAGACTGTGGGACAAAGCACCTAAAGCTGGTACAGGCGGGGTCTGGCTTCGCTGGTACCGGGTTCGCTAGAGTTCCATTGGTGACTTTGGGATTTGGGGGTTTCCGAAAATAGGGGACCCTAATATAGTACCCTAAATAATAGGATCCTTTTTATAAGGACCCCAAAATAAGGTACCCAAATTTTCGGAAAGCCCCATTTGATCTTGGATGAGGGGTTTAGGCTGAGGGGCGAGGTTTAGGATTTGGTCGCATGCGGCCTCCACTGCTGAGGACGTCTTTTGCTTTGCAGTTGCATGTCATGACCTGTTCCCATGACTCGGACCTTCAGGAAAGATAACTTAGGGTTTAGGGTTTAGGGTTTAGGGCTTCATTTATCACTGTGGATCTACTCATTCAAGTGTGATTAAAGTTTTGGGGTGCACCTGGGTGAACTTTGAAGCAAGACCTGACGTGGTTTCTGTTCCAGCTTTAGCTCCGGGTATATGGGTAGTCCTCTAAACTAGTTCCTCTGTAGGTCCCCAAAAGAGTACGGCACCCTGATCAAAAAAGAGCCCTAACTCAAACCCTAATTTAGAGAACTGCCCGTACAGAGTTTCGTATTTCGGGTGAGGGATCCTTGAGTACGTAGGTCCTAATTTGGAGGGGAGGTCTCCAACAAGCCGCCTGGAAAAACCTCCTACTCCCGGACACGCTAGGTTCCTGAATTATCAGAATGGGGTTCTGGGTTCTAGTGTAGTACGGGTTTAGGAGTTTAGGGCTTTAGAGTTTAGGGTTCGATCCTTGGGGTTCGATGCTGTTCAGCCCTTCACGTTATCTAGGGGCCTTAACGATAAGAATGGGGTTTTGGGG